AAAAAAAAAAAAAAAGAATTACCTATTTGGCATCTACTAAGTCACACGATGTAGTTTGGTACATTCTGAGGAAATAGTAGTGAACAGATACTTAGCCCACTGACCAGCCAATCACCATCCCTCTCTGTCCTCGAGCCTCCCCATTTCCCAAGACACAACACTGTTGAAATTAACAACCTTGCTACAGCCTTTTAAGTGTTCAAGTGAAAATAAAATCACCCATCTCTCACTTTCAAATACCTAAGAAAATGCCATGAAGGCTATGTTAACCAGCTTGCTGAAAACATTTCAAATTGTATATAGAACGCGTAAACTGTACCCCATGACTGCATTATTGTACGCAGCTATGATTTAATTAAAAAAAAAAAAAACAGAAAAAACCCCCAAATCTACAAATGATTATGCTTATTGAGAAAGACATATTGAAAGGCAAGATAAGCCCAAAAATGAGGCCTCTTAAACCAGTTATCCAAGTTGTGAATAAATAAATAATAAAGTTCTTGAAGGAAATTAAAAGCACTACTTCTGTGAAAACATGAGTGGTAATAAAGCAAACGTTATTGCTGATACACAGAAAGTTTGTGATTTGCATAGACAATCCAACCAGTCACAACTTTCCCTTAAGTGAAAACCTGATCCAAAGCAAGGCCCTGAGTCTCTTCTCTATGAAGCCTGAGAGACTTGAGGATGCAACAAAAGAGCAGACTGAAGTCAGCAGGGGTCAGTTCATGAGGTGTACAAAGGAGGTCATTTCCATACTATAAACATGCCAGGGGAAGTTGCAAGTTGAATGTAGATGAAACAGCATTCTATTAGAAGAGGTTGCCACGTGGGACTTCCATAGCTAGAATCCAGTCAATGCCTGCATTCAAAGCTTGAAAAGACAGGTTGACTCTCTTGTTAAAGGCTAACACAGCTGGTGACTTACATGTCAAATATATTAATAGTAGAGTATAAATGTCTAAACACAACAATTAAATAAGTGAGGTGAATGATATGTTAACCAGTTTGATTTAAACATTCCAAGTTGCATAAAAATCAGCATTGTACCCCATAAATGCAGTAATGTACACAGTTACAATCTAATAAAAAATAGCCTTTGTCATTCAAAAAATTCTAAGGCCCTTAAGAGTTAGGCTCAATCTATTCTGCCTATGCTTTATTAATGAAAGAGAAAAACAAACCTAGATGATTGGAATGACTTGATAATAAAATTCAAGAAGTTATTTGTGATTTATATGTTAAATACATATATATTTTTTCATTTTAGGTTATTGTAAGGGTACAAACAACCAGGGCACCATTTCTGAATTTATTAGTTAGAGAAAGTCCCTCTTATAGTTCTGTCCCGCATCCAGAATGTGTCCCCTTCCCCAGGCTGATATCCTCAAGAGATTTTCTCAGCCCTGTCTTATTCCCTTTAAGTGGGAGCACACCAATCTCTCCTCCAGGCCCCCCACTCCAACTTGAATAAAATTAAGTGTTTCTCTTTTTGTGAGCATGTGTTATTTTGTCTACTGGCTTTGTAATAAGATTGAGTACATTGGATACCTGCTTTCCGTTCTTGTGATGCTTTACCAAGAAGAATGTGTTAACTCCATCCATGTAAATACAAAAGATATAATGTCACCATCCTTTCTTAAGGCCTATTAGTACTCCATGGTACACATATACCACAGCTTGTTAATCCATTCCTGGGTTGATGGGCATTCGGTTGTTTCCACATCTGGGCAATTGTACATTGAGTTGCAATAAATACTCTAGTGTAATTGTCTTGATGATAAAATGATTTTTTTTCTTCTGAGTAGTTGCCTTGTAGTGGGATTACAGGGTCAAATGGGGGATCTAATTTGAGTTCTTTGAGGAATATCTTTCCAAGGAGTCTGTATTAGTTTGCAGTTCCAAAACATTGTAAAAGTGTCCCCCTCTCTCCACACCCACACAAACATATGAAACTCTGGGACTTTGTGATGTGGGCTAATTTCACTGATTAGTAGGTGATGTCTCAGAGTGGTTTAGATTTGCATTTCTCTGATGATTAGGAATGTTTAAGTATTTTTTTTTATATGTTTGTTAGTTGTTCCATTGTCTTCCTCAGAGAATTTTCTGTTCTTAACCAGCGATAGATGGTATTATTGACAGTTTTCGTTGATCAATTTGAGTACTCTATAGATCCTGGTTATCAAACCGTTGGCAGATTCATAATATGCAAATATCTTCTCCCTTTCTGAAGGTTGTATATTTGCTTTAATTGTTGTGTCATTACCTGTGCAAAAGCTTTTCAGTTTAATTAAGTTTAATTTGTTTATATTTGTTGTTGTTGCGATTGCCACTGAAATCATCTTGATAAAATCTTCCCCACACTGACATCCTCAAGAGTTTTTCCCATACTTTCTTCTAGGATTTTTATCATTTAATGTCATAGATTTAAATCTTTTTTTCCACCTTGAGTCAATTTTTGTAATTGCTGAAAACCTCAGGTCCAATTTCAGTCTTTTACAGGTAATTATCCAGTTCTCCCTGCAGC